ACCAGGCGAGGTAGTCAACATCTCCTAGCCACCGTGATGATGATGAGAGAGAGACACAGACCTCCTGTGGACCAGGCGAGGTAGTCAACATCTCCTAGCCACCGTGATGATGATGAGAGAGTGTAGTGGGTAACGCTACGAACCCGGCGACCCGAGTTCGATTCCCGCTCACGGCCAACACCGCCAGTGACGATTATCAGAACCGGTCCTGGGCCTGAGCCTCAAATGGGTACCCGGTGTAGCGGTGTAGCGCAGTAAACATCGCCACTGGGGAGACAAAGGCGGCCGGGTGTGGTGCTGGCCACCCACCTCCTCGTGTGCGAGGGGGTGGGCGAAGGGGGGGGGGGGCGAGGGGGGGCTTACCCCACTCTTCTCACGAGGTTCATGGTCACATGACACGTGGAACGGGCACTGACACACAGAGACAAAGGTCCCCCGTGTAGCCTCTAACAGGCTGTAGGGGCAAGTGCAGCAGCGCCTATGAAGGCTACCGGTACTGTGACACACGAGGGGCGCCCGGCCGCCTTTGTATCCCCAGTACTAGCGATGTTCACTACGCTACACCGCTACACCAGGTACTCATTTGAGGCTGAGTCGGCCTAGGGGAGGCCCAGAACCGATTCAGAGAATCGTCACCGGCGTTGGCCGTGAGCGGGGATCGAACTCGGATCGCTGGGTTCATAGCGCAGCGTAGCGCTACCCACTACACTACTGCTCCTCACTACACACGCAGACACAGACACACGCAGACACACACACACAGACACACACACGCGCGCAGACACACACAGACACACACACGCGCAGACACACACACACAGACACAGACACACACACAGACACACACACAGATACACACACACAGACACACACACAGACACACACAGACACAGACACACACACAGACACACACACAGATACACACACACAGACACACACACAGACACACACACACAGATACACACACAGACACACACACAGACACACACAGACACACACACAAACACACAGAGATACACACACGTCCCCTCTAGGTAAAGGCGCAGCCCTGCAATAGCTCGCGAGCCCCTTTGCTGGCTCCATGGGCCACCACTAGAGGCCTCCACTAGGAGCCGCTCTATGGGGTGTGCCAGGCTAGGTGCAGGTCACGTGACAGACCCAGGTGCCATGGGTTGAGTGGTGTGCCAGGCTAGGTGCCGGTCACGTGACAGACCCAGGTGCCATGGGTTGAGTGGTGTGCCAGGCTAGGTGCAGGTCACGTGACAGTCCCAGGTGCCATGGGTTGACTGCTGTGCCAAGCTAGGTGCAGGTCACGTGACAGACCCAGGTGCCATGGGTTGAGTGGTGTGCCAGGCTAGGTGCAGGTCACGTGACAGACCCAGGTGGCATGGGTTGAGTGGTGTGCCAGGCTAGGTGCAGGTCACGTGACAGACCCAGGTGCCATGGGTTGAGTGGTGTGCCAGGCTAGGTGCAGGTCACGTGACAGACCCAGGTGGCATGGGTTGAGTGGTGTGCCAGGCTAGGTGCAGGTCACGTGACAGACCCAGGTGCCATGGGTTGAGTGGTGTGCCAGGCTAGGTGCAGGTCACGTGACAGACCCAGGTGGCACGGGTTGAGTGGTGTGCCAGGCTAGGTGCAGGTCACGTGACAGTCCCAGGTGCCATGGGTTGAGTGGTGTGCCAGGCTAGGTGCAGGTCACGTGACAGACCCAGGTGCCCTGGGTTGAGTGGTGTGCCAGGCTAGGTGCAGGTCACGTCACAGTCCCAGGTGCCATGGGTTGACTGCTGTGCCAAGCTAGGTGCAGGTCACGTGACAGTCCCAGGTGCCATGGGTTGAGTGGTGTGCCAGGCTAGGTGCAGGTCACGTGACAGTCCCAGGTGCCATGGGTTGACTGCTGTGCCAAGCTAGGTGCAGGTCACGTGACAGACCCAGGTGGCATGGGTTGAGTGGTGTCCCAGGCTAGGTGCAGGTCACGTGACAGACCCAGGTGGCATGGGTTGAGTGGTGTGCCAGGCTAGGTGCAGGTCACGTGACAGACCCAGGTGGCATGGGTTGAGTGGTGTGCCAGGCTAGGTGCAGGTCACGTGACAGACCCAGGTGGCATGGGTTGAGTGGTGTGCCAGGCTAGGTGCAGGTCACGTGACAGTCCCAGGTGGCATGGGTTGAGTGGTGTCCCAGGCTAGGTGCAGGTCACGTGACAGACCCAGGTGGCACGGGTTGAGTGGTGTGCCAGGCTAGGTGCAGGTCACGTGACAGTCCCAGGTGCCATGGGTTTAGTGGTGTGCCAGGCTAGGTGCAGGTCACGTGACAGTCCCAGGTGCCATGGGTTGAGTGGTGTGCCAGGCTAGGTGCAGGTCACGTGCAGACCCAGGTACCATGGGTTGAGTGGTGTGCCAGGCTAGGTGCAGGTCACGTGACAGTCCCAGGTGCCATGGGTTGAGTGGTGTGCCAGGCTAGGTGCAGGTCACGTGACAGACCCAGGTGCCATGGGTTTAGTGGTGTGCCAGGCTAGGTGCAGGTCACGTGACAGACCCAGGTGGCACGGGTTGAGTGGTGTCCCAGGCTAGGTGCAGGTCACGTGATAGTCCCAGGTGCCATGGGTATAGTGGTGTGCCAGGCTAGGTGCAGGTCACGGGACAGACCCAGGTGCCATGGGTTGAGTGGTGTGCCAGGCTAGGTGCAGGTCACGTGACAGTCCCAGGTGCCATGGGTTGAGTGGTGTGCCAGGCTAGGTGCAGGTCACGTGACAGACCCAGGTGCCCTGGGTTTAGTGGTGTGCCAGGCTAGGTGCAGGTCACGTGACAGTCCCAGGTGCCATGGGTTTAGTAGTATGCCAGGCTAGGTGCAGGTCACGTGACAGACCCAGGTGCCCTGGGTTTAGTAGTATGCCAGGCTAGGTGCAGGTCACGTGACAATGCCAACTTTGTGATACGCGACTAGCAGATGCTTCACCAGCTTGGCTCCGAACTGTGCCAACTTTAGTACAACGAAAAAGTTCCCCCGTGTAGCCTCGAACAGACTGTCGGGGCAAGTGCTGTTAGCGAGTAGCAGCAGCAGCGCCCTATGAAGGCTACCGGCAGGGGGTGGGTGGCCAGCAACCACGCCCGGCCGCCTTTGTCTCCCCCAGTGACGACGTTTACTGCCACGCACCGCACCAGGTAACTCATTTGAGGCTGAGTCGAACTAGGGGAGGTCCAGGCACGGTTCAGATAATCGTTCTCCTGCCTCCTCAGCCATGCTCATCAAGACCTATAGACCCACAGAGACCAACAGAGACTCATACTCATAGAGACCCACAGAGACCCACACTCATAGAGACCCACAGAGACCCATACTCATAGAGACCCACAGACACCCATACTCATGGAGACCCACAGACACCCATACTCATAGACCCACAGAGACCCATACCCCATACTCATAGACCCACAGAGACCCATAGAGACCCATAGAGACCCACAGAGACCCATACTCATAAAGACCCAGAGACACTCATACTCATAGAGACCCACAGACACCCATACTCATGGAGACCCACAGAGATCCATACTCATAGAGACCCATAGAGACCAATACTCATAGAGACCCATACTCATAGAGACCCACAGACACCCATGGAGGTTGTGCTGATCTTTTTTTCAGAATGCGACCCCAGGACATCACAAATGATAGCAAGCTCAACGAAGTGGCCCCATCATCATCGTCATCATTGTCGTCATCGTCATCATCATCGTCATCATTGTCGTCATCATCGTCGTCATCATCATCGTCGTCATAATCGCGGGGGTGATTGATAGTGGCAGCTAAATGCTCTCTCATACGTGTGGAGGAAAAAAAAACACGTGGCCACGGAGAGAGAGGCGCAGACTCCAAATCTACAGCAGCAGCAGGCATCGTCAGGGTCGGGATGGAACCCACGACCTCCTGTAGACCAGGCGAGGTAGTTAACATCTCCTAGCCACCGTGATGATGATGATGAGAGAGAGAGAGACGCAGACTCCAAATCTACAGCAGCAGCAGCATCAGGCATCGTCAGTGTCGCGATGGAACCCACGACCTCCTGTAGACCAGGCGAGGTAGTTAACATTTCCTAGCCACCGTGATGATGATGAGAGAGACACAGACTCCAAATATACAGCAGCAGCAGCAGGTATCGTCAGGGTCGGGATGGAACCCACGACCTCCTGTGTACCCGGCGAGGTAGTTAACATTTCCTAGCCACCGTGATGATGATGAGAGAGAGAGAGACACACACACAGACTCGAAATATACAGCAGAAGCAGGCATCGTCAGGGTCGGGATGGAACCCACGGCCTCCTGTATACCAGGCGAGGTAGTTAACATCGCCTAGCCACCGTGATGATGATGAGAGAGAGAGAGACGCAGACTCCAAATCTACAGCAGCAACAGCAGGCATCGTCAGGGTCGGGATGGAACCCACGACCTCCTGTAGACCAGGCGAGGTAGTTAACATCTCCTAGCCACCGTGATGATGAGAGAGAGACGCAGACTCCAAATTTACAGCAGCAGGCATCGTCAGGGTCGGGATCGAACCCACGACCTCCTGTATACCAGGCGAGGTAGTTAACATCTCCTGGCCACCGTGATGATGATGATGAGAGAGAGAGACACAGACCTCCTGTGTACCAGGCGAGGTAGTTAACATCTCCTAGCCACCGTGATGATGATGATGAGAGAGAGACACAGACTCTAAATATACAGCAGCAGCAGGCATCGTCAGGGTCGGGATCGAACCCACGATCTCCTGTGTACCAGGCGAGGTAGTTAACATCTCCTAGCCACCGTGATGATGATGATGAGAGAGACAGACACAGACCTCCTGTGTACCAGGTGAGGTAGTCAACATCTCACAGCCACCACGCCTCGGATCGTCGATTTTCAGCGAGCTGAGAGTTTAGGAATTGGTGAGAATCCGGTGAGCGGCGAGGTGGTGGTGTGGAAAAGGGGGGGGGGGGGGTGGGTGATGCGTCGGACCTCACCTGCGCGTGTGAGACGGCTGTGTAGTAGCAGCCACATCGTCGTCAGCAGGACGAGGTGAGCGAGATGAGGGCGACGTGGGTTCATGGTGACGAGCATCCCAGCGCGTCGAGGAGCGGCTATTGCCTGGCTCCTCTCTCTCTCACTCTCTATTTCTCTCTGTATCTCACACACACAATCACACACACACTCACACACTCTGACTATCACACTCACACACACTCTGTCTATCACACACACACTCACACACTCTGTCTATCACACACACACTCACACACTATCTCTCTCTGTATCTCACACACACTCACACACTCTCACACACTCACACACACACTCACTCACACACACTATCTCTCTCTCTCTCTGCAGACACTCCACGTAGCTGCACGCTGCTGCTGAAGTGACCTCCCGCTCGCACGGCTCCAGGTTTTATCAACTCGTCTCTTCCGACCGCTCGACTCCGCTGATGATGGGGTGATGATGGGGGTGATGATGGGGGTGATGAGGGGGATGATGATGGGGGTGATGGTCGCGGTCTCTCCGCTCGCGTGGTGCGCGATGTTGAACACGAGCGAACCAGCAGCAGTAGGAGGAGGTGGTGGTGGTGGAAGTTGACAGGAGACAGGCAGGGAGACTCTGTCGAGAAGTGGAGGACGCGTTGCGTGGTGGACGTCACCACGGTGATGATGATGTTGATGAGGTGGTGATGCTGGTGGTGGTGGTGGTGTAGACGACGAGGAGGAGGAGGAGGAGGGAGGAGGAGATGGTTGCCAGTAGTAGCAGCAGCAGCAGCAGCTGAACCTCCTTTGAGCTCACAACTCCATCGCCCACGGCTGCTGCGTCTGCCCTGCTGCGTCTCTCCCCGAATCTCCGTCCAGGGCTTTCCCTCTTCCCTTTGACAGCTCCCTGGGGTCCCCTCGTGACCCCCCCCCCTCGCTACCCCCCCTCGTTACCCCCTCCCTCGCTACTCCCCCCTCCCACGCTACCACCCCCCCCCCTCGTTATCCCCTCCCCCTCGCTACTCTCCCCCCTCGTTACCCCCCCTCCATCGAGGGGTCTCCCTCCCACCCCCCTCCCTCCCTCCCCCCTCCCTCCCACCCCCCTCCCTCCCCCCTCCCTCCCCCCTCCCTTCCTCCCACCCCCCTCCCTCCCCCCTCCCTCCCACCCCCTCCCTCCCTCCCCCCTCCCTCGCACCTCCCACGGCCCCACCTTACCGCCCAGGAGGCCACCTTCTGATCCCGCCCCCACCACCATCTCGACCCCCGCGGGGATTGGGGGGCTTTGGGGGGGGGAGGGAGTGGGGGGGGGGCACGCGATGTCGAATGAGCGGAGTGGAGGGGACGAGAGGAGGGGGGATTTGGGGGGTGGCAGCCCCGCCCCCCTTCCCCGGGTCATGTGTAGGTGTTCGTGTCGTCATCATCATTTACACAATCATCATCATCATCATTTACACAATCATCATTTACACACTCATCATCATCATTTACACACTCATCATCATCATCATTTACACAATCATCATCATTTACACACTCATCATCATCATTTACACACTCATCATCATCATTTACACAATCATCATCATCATTTACACACTCATCATCATTTACACAATCATCATCATCATTTACACAATCATCATCATTTACACACTCATCATCATCATCATTTACACAAACATCATCATTTACACAATCATCATCATCATTTGCACACTCATCATCATTTACACAATCAGCATAATAATCATTTACACAATCATCATTTACACAATCATCATCACAATCATCACCATCATCATCATTTACACAATCATCATCATCATTTACACATTCATCACCATCATCATCATTTACACATTCATCAACATCATCATCATTTACACAATCATTATCATCATTTACACAATCATCACCATCATTTACACAATCATCACCATCATCATCATTTACACAATCATCATCACCATCATTTACACAATCATCATTTACACAATCATCATTTACACAATCATCACCATCATCATCATTTACAGAATCATCACCATCATTTACACAATCATTACCAACATCATTTACACAATCATCACCATCATCAATTACACAATCATCAGTATCATTTACACAATCATCACCACCATCATCATTTACACAATCATCATCACCATCATTTACACAATCATCATCATTTACACAATCATCATTTACACAATCATCATCATCATTTACAGAATCATCACCATCATTTACACAATCATTACCATCATCATTTACACAATCATCACCATCATCAATTACACAATCATCAGTATAATTTACACAATCATCACCACCATCATCATTTACACAATCATCATCATCATTTACACAATCATCATCATCATTTACACAATCATCATCATTTACACAATCATCATCATTTACACAATCATCACCATCATTTACACAATCATCACTATCATCATTTACACAATCATCATCATCACCACCATCATTTACACAATCATCATTTACACAATCATCATCATTTTCACAATCATCATTTACACAATCATCATTTACACAATCATCACCATCATCATCATTTACACAATCATCATCATCACCATCATTTACACAATCATCATTTACACAATCACCATCATTTACACAATCATTACCATCATCATCATTTACACAATCATCACCATCATCATCATCACTTACACAATCATCACTATCATTTACACAATCATCATCATCATTTACACAATCATCACCATCATCATTTACACAATCATCACCATCATCATCATTTACACAATAATCACCATCATCATTTACACAATCATCATCATTTACACACTCATCATCATCATTTACACACTCATCATCATCATTTACCCAATCATCATCATTTACACAATCATCATCATTTACACAATCATCATCATTTTCACAATCATCATTTACACAATCATCATTTACACAATCATCACCATCATCATCATTTACACAATCATCATCATCACCATCATTTACATCATCACCATCATTTACACAATCAACACCATCATTTACACAATCATCACCATCATCATCATTTAAACAATCATCACCATCATCATTTACATCATCATCATTTACACAATCATCACCATCATAAATTACACCATCATCACCATCATTTACACCATCATCATTTAAATCACCATCATCACCATCATTTACACCATCATCATGATTTACACCATCACCATCATTTTCAACAGCATCATCATTAGCACTGCCATCACCATCATCATGAACACCACGCACTTACCACCTACATCACCATCATCATTATGTAAACACAGACAAAGCTCCCCCGTGTAGCCTCTAGCAGGCTGTAGGGCAAGTGCTGTTAGCGAGCACCTCACACACACAGACACAGACAAAGCTCCCCCGTGTAGCCTCTAACCGGCCGTAGGGGCAAGTGCTGTTAGCGAGCACCTCACACACAGACACAGACAAAGCTCCACCGTGTAGCCTCTAACAGGCCGTAGGGGCAAGTGCTGTTAGCGAGCACCTCACACAGACACAGACAAAGCTCCACCGTGTAGCCTCTAACAGGCCGCAGGGGCAAGTGCTGTTAGCGAGCACCTCACACACAGACACAGACAAAGCTCCCCCGTGTAGCCTCTAACAGGCTGTAGGGGCAAGTGCTGTTAGCGAGTAGCAGCGCCTGTGAAGGCTACCGGCGCTGTGGCACACGAGGGGGTGGGTGGCCAGCACCACGCCCGGCCGCCTTTGTCTTCCCTAGTGGTAGCGATGTTCACTATGCTACACACCACCACCATTACCACCCACTACCATCACCACCATCACCACCCACCACCATCGCCACCCACCACCATCACCACCATCACCTCCACCATCACCACCCACTACCATCACCACCACCATCACCACAACCATCACCACTACCATCACCACCCACTACCACCACCACCATCACCACCCACTACCATCACCACACACTACCATCACCACTACCATCACCACCACCCACTACCATCACCACCCACTACCATCACCACCACCATGACCACCCACTACCACCACCACCACCCATTACCATCACCACCCACTACCACCACCATCACCACCCACTACCATTACCACCACCATCACCACCCACTACCACCACCATCACCACCACCACCATCACCACCCACTACCACCACCATCACCACCCACTACCATAACCACCCACTACCATCACCACCACCATCACCACCATCACCACCATCACCACCATCACCATCACCACCCACTACCACCACCATCACCACCCACTACCATAACCACCCACTACCACCACCATCACCACCACCACCATCACCACCCACTACCATCACCACCACCATCACCACCCACTACCATCACCACCCACTACCACCACCACCATCACCACCCACTACCATCACCACTACCATCACCACCACCACCATTACCACCACCACCACCATCACCACCCACTACCATAACCACCCACTACCATCACCACCACCATCACCACCACCATCACCACTACCATCACCACCACCATCACCACCACCATTACCACCCACTACCATCACCACCCACTACCATCATCACCACCATCACCACCACCATCACCACCCTCTACCACCACCATCACCACCACCACCCACCACCACCACCACCATCACCACTCACTACCACCATCACCACCCACTACCATCACCATCACCACCCACTACCACCACCATCACCACCCACTACCACCACCACCACCATCACCACCCACTACCATCACCACCCACTACCACCACCACTACCATCACCCACTACCATCACCACCACCACCATGACCACCCACTACCACCATCACCACCACTACCACCACCACCACCCACTACCACCATCACCCACTACCATTACCACCATCACCATGACCACCCACTACCACCACCACCATCACCACCCACTACCATCACCACCACCATCACCACCCACTACCACCACCATGACCACCCACTACCACCACCACCATCACCACCACCATCACCACCACCATCACCACCACCACCATCACCACCCACTACCATCACCACCACCATCACCACCCACTACCACCACCATGACCACCCACTACCACCACCACCATCACCACCACCATCACCACCACCATCACCACCACCACCATCACCACCCACTACCATCACCACCACCATCACCACCACCATCACCACCCACTACCATCACCACCC